TCCAATTTTAGTATATGTGCTGCCAAAGCGAGCACAAGCACTTGCTTTAAAAATACATAATAGATGCTGGGATTATAATAATAAGCAAAAACAGATATCCCTACCTTTTTAGAGTTTGTATTATAGTGAGGAAGATGTTACTCAGTACTCTCCTAAATAAATGTAAATTACAACAGTGAGAATTATTATAAAGGAAAGGTGCTTGGTGCTATTAGACTATATAATATGGAAGCCTAACCTCATCCGGGGGTCCCTAAAAAGCCTTCCCTGAGAAAGAAGTCCTAAGAATGACTAGAATTTGCATGGTTTGGAGGAAAGGAGGAACATGACAGGTAAAGTGAATTGTATGTTTAATGGGCCTGCGGCTCCGGCAGGAGGGTAACATGACAGGTTTGAGGAGCTGAAAGAAAATCATTGTGCTAGCATCGAGAGCATAAGAAAACATGATACAAGATGAACTGGAGAGATAAGCGTGTACTGTACCACACTGCCTAATTTGGTGGCTTTGGTTTGGTGGATAGTTAGAAGCCACTGAAGGATTTTAGCAAAGGGGTAATATGATCAAATCTGATTTGTGAAAAGCTCACCGGGAGATAATGGATCATAGGGTAGAACAGAATTCAGATGCCAAATAAAGCATTATTAAAGTGCCCGGCTGGTGTGGCTCAGCGGTTGAGCGTTGACCCATGCACGAGGAGGTTGCTGGTTTGTTTCCTGGTCAGGGCACATGCCCAGGTTGTGGGCCAAATCCCCAGTGGAGGGCATGCAGGAGGCAGCCAATCGATGTTCTCTCTCTCCCTTACCCTCTCACTAAAATTCAATGAAGAAAAAAAAGTACTATTAAAGTAATCTAGGGAGCCCAAACCGGTTTGGCTCAGCGGTTAGAATGTCGGCTTGTGGACCAAAGAGTCCCAGGTTCGATTCCAGTGAAGGGCACATACCTCAGTTGTAGTTCAGTCCCCGGCCCTGGTCAGGGTGGTGCAGGAAGCAACCTGTCGATATGTCTCTCTCACATCGATGTTTTTCTCTCTCTGTATCTCTCCCTCCCACTCTGTTTGAAAATAAATGGAAAAATATCCTCAGGTAAGGATTTAAAAAAGAAAAAGTAATCTAGGAAGCCCTGGCCTGGTAGCTGGCTCAGTTGGTTGGTGCATCATCCAGTATACCAAAAGGTTCGGGTTCGATCCCTGGTCGGAGCACATATGGGATCATTCTCTCCCCTCTACCTCTTTCTGGAAAAAAAAAAAAAAAATCAATAAAAAATATAATCCAGGCAAAAAATGATCTGCCTTAAAAAGTAAATGTTTTTGAGTTTCTTCCTCAGTTGCATAATTTAAATGAATAACATTTTTTTTTTTTTTTTTTGTACAGATAGAATGGGAGGGAGAGAGAGGAAGAGAGAGAGAGAGAGAAACATCGACGTGAAGGGACACATCGAGTGGCTGCCACCCGCACGACCAACCAGGGCCGGGGACAAACTGCAACCGAAGTACGTGCCCTTAGCGGGAACCGAACCCGGGTCTCTCCGGACCGCAGGCCGACGCTCTAACCGCTGAGCCAAACTGGCCAGGGCTAAATGAATAACATTTTTAAAAATTATTTTTTAATTGATTATTTTGAGAGAGAGAAAGAGAGGAAGGGAGAGAGAATCATCAGTGTGAGAGGGAAACATCGGCTGCCTCCTGCACACCCCTTACCAGGATTGAGACCACAACTAGGGCATATGCCCTGACCAGGAATTGAACTGACAATCTTATAGTGCACAGACGATGCCCAGCAGCCAGGGCAAATGAGTATCATTTTGAAAAATACCTTTATGCATGGTTGCAGAACCCTAGGTTGTATATGGTCTGGTAGAACACCAGAAGGCCAGATCAATTCTTACGGGGTTTAAGAGACAGCCAAGCACTGTATTAGACTTATGTCGGAGGTAAGTGTTTTTATGCTTATTTTTTAGTTGATTAAAAATAAAGCTCAGAGAAGTGTCTTGGTCATTTTGATTAGTAAGTGTCAGAGGGATTGTTATTATGGAGTCCAAATGTTGAAATTCTCTGAAGAGAACACTGGTAGCTTATCACATTACCTTTTATCTGTCTCTTTGCTGTGTTGTAACATAGAGGAGATATAGGTTAGATAGCAGTGGTTCTGTAGTATATATAAAACCTGCTCTTAAATTCACCCCTTACTGCCCAGCCAGTGTGGCTCTGGATTGAGTGTTGTCCCATGTACCAAGAGGTCACCAGTTCAATTCTAGGTCAGGGCACATGCATTGGTTGTAGGCTCCATCCCTGGTAGGGGGTATGCGGGAGGCAGCTGACTCTCATATTGATGTTTCTATCTCTTTTTCCTTTCCTCTCTAAAAAATCAATAAAAACACATAGTTTTTAAAATTCACCCCTTACCAACACCACATATTTTTGTTCTGAGGTTCAGCTTCCCAATTGCTTAATTTAAAAAAAACAAAAGCAGCCCTGGCTGGTTTGGCTCAGTGAGTAGAGCATAGGCCCAAGGATGAAAGGATTGTGAGTTTGTTTCCCGGCTCCTATCAAGATTGTGTAGGAAGCAACCAATCGATTTGTCTCTCTTGAATTGAAGCTTGTCTCTCTCTCTCACTCTGTCTCCCTCCCTTCCACTCTATCTAAAAATCAATGGAAAAATATCCTTGGGTAAGGATTAACAACAAAAAAAAGCAGTGACCACAATGGCAGTGATCAAATAAGTGCCTATGGAATAATGATTACCTGGCTTATTCATAATTTCTTATTGTCAGTGATGATTTGAAAATACAAAAGGTTATGGCTTTGTACAGTCCATCTACAGAATTTGATTTTCTCAAGTTGGTTAAGTTTTTTACTGAAATCAGGAAAATAGCAAACAAAGTTGATGCTCAGTATATGTTTACTGAATGGAAGAATGATGTGTTTCAAAAGTGGTAGGCATATCAAGTAAGATGATAAGGCAAATGATCTGAGTAGAATGGAGGGAAGTATATGACATTATCTAGGCTGCTGTTAACCAGAAATATCTGGATATCTTCCAGGTATTTATAGATTATACCACTAAGAGATTTTATTACCCCCAAATCTGATCTGTTCCAACCCTTCTGTCAGACTGACCCATATCTCCTTACCAGATTCTTGCTTCTTTAGCCTTTTAATGTTTTGCTTATTGTGTCAAGAAGAAACAACTAGACGTTATTTTGTATTTTATGTTGTCAACATTAATACTCCCTTTTATTCATATTAGTACAAGTTAATTATAGTAGGAATGTCTTAACTTGTGTTTTACATCCAGATTGGGTTTCTAAAAGTTTGTAGATCAGTAATGAGAATGGATTCAGAGTTCCAAAACTCAACATTTATTGAACATTCATTATGTTTAAGGGCATTTATCTAGGATAACTAGGGAAATAACTTGTTAACCAGGGAATTCTAGAGAAAAATAGAATCTAGTTTTTGCCTTCAAGAAATTGCAACCTAATTAACCAAATAATATAACCAAATCTAATAAGCAACCTGATGTTTATTTGCTATTTCAGGCTTCCCCTGGGAGGTCTTAGAATATACCCTCCACAGATAAGTGGGAACTACTCTATCTAACTTTAATTGCATAAATATTTACTGAACACTTATTATATATCAGACTCTCATACTGTCTCCTATCACCTGGACCAGTGATTCTTAATGAACTAGGATATCTGTGAACCCCTAACACTGTATACAGATTTTTTGTATATATGTGTTTGTGCTTTTTTCTAGGGAGCCCTACTGCTTTCATAAGTTTTTCAAAAGAGTATGCTATAAAAGGAGGAGGAACGTTTTATCTAGAAATGGAGAATGGTTCTGAACCAATAAAAAGGTTTAAAAATAAGGCTATCTAAACTAAATTCCAACTTCCAGGGATTGTGATTCAGTGGATTTGAGGTAGAGCGCCATCAAGCAAGGGTTGATAGCCATTGATCTATACAGGCGTAACACTAAAATATACTTCATGAGAACAGGAACTATTTGTTATTTATTGTACTTCTGGGGTCTAGAAAGTGCCTGGCACTCAGTGAATATTTATCGAATGAATGAGCATTAGAACCTTCCAGTTCAGAAAAATTAAAAAAAGACACTCACCCCAACTGCTTTATCATTCATGGTAAGTCATGATGGAATCACTAAAAACATTTCCTTGGGTGGGTGAGAACAGGGAGGCATTAAAGATATTTGATGGGTCCTAGCTGGTTTGGCTCAGCGGTTGGAGTATCGGCCCGCAGACCAGAGAGACCCGGGTTCGTTTCCCGCTAAGGGCACACACCTCGGTTGCGGTTTGTCTCCAGTCGTGGTTGGGGTTGTGTGGGTGGCATCCAGTCGATGTTTCTCTCTCACATCGATGTTTCTCTCTTCCTCCCTCTCTCCCTCCCGCTCTGTCTGAAGATAAATACAAAAATGTCCTCAGGTGAGGATTTAAAAAAAAAAAAAGATATTTGATGGAGAAGTTTTGTTGGAGGAGGATGATATACATTTAAATGTCTCCCTTATGTGTATCATGAAAAATGGTTGGAAACCACTGCTTTAAGTTTGGAGCAATACAGTTTAGTGGGGTAGGCTGACCTACAAACAATAACTCTAATATAATATAAGTGCTCATACTAGAAAAGGTATATTTACCAAAAAAAATTGCTAGAGATCAGCCAGGAAAACTGTATGAAGTAGATGTTATTTAAGCTGGGTCTTTAGGAATGAGGGAGCTCACATTCCCTAGTGAAGGAAAAGGGTGTACAAAGACACAGAGGCCTAAAAGCCCATGGAGAATCCAGTGAGTGAATTCAGGTATGTTAGGAGCCATATTGTGAAAAACTTTATATAACACACTTTGGAGTTTGCACTGTGGGCATTGAGGTTTTGTCACTTAAATTAAGGATGTTGATTTGAGGATTACATGCAAGACTCTGTGCTAGGAGTTTCCTTGAAACTCTATGTTTATATACTTATGTTCTTTTCTTCTACTTGCAGGCTGCTATATGGCAAGCACTAAACCATTATGCTTATCGAGATGCAGTTTTCCTTGCAGAAAGACTGTATGCAGAAGGTTTGTAACATATTTATTTCTGTAAAATCATAACTAAACAAAATATATGAATGCCATCACTCTTTATGACTGTAACAAGATTCTAAGTATCGCTTTTGTTTTTCCTTTATGATAAACATTAGTTCATAAAAATGTTTCCCTGTATTTGTGTATCTCCCTTATATGCTACTTTTTTTTTATTTTTTTTATCCTCACCCGAGGACATTTTTCCATTTTTGGTTCAGGTAGAGTGGGAGGGAGAGAGAGGAACAGAGAGAGAGGGAAACATCGACGTGAAAGGGACACATTGAGTGGCTGCCACCCACACGACCAACCAGGGCCGGGGACAAACTGCAACCGAAGTACGTGCCCTTAGCGGGAACCGAACCCGGGTCTCTCCAGACCGCAGGCCGACGCTCTAACCACTGAGCCAAACCGGCCAGGGCCCTTATATGCTACTTTTAATAACTGTAGAGTTGCTTCAGGTTTCACACTATGGTTTACTTAATCTTTCCCAATCTTCAAGGCATTTTTCAGGTTTTGGATTAGAGTCTACTGCCTCTGTGCAAACCCTACCTCTGTCCCTTAAATATGAAGTTGTATATGTGGGCATGTTACTTAATGTCTGAGTATTACAGATTTCTCAGCTATAAACTAAAAAGAATAATAATAACCTTATAAAATTGAAGAATTAAATGTAATAAAATTAAATGAAATAATGTCACAGCCTTCTGACATGGTAATAAATGTTCAGTAAACATCTAGTAATGTATGTTTTGTTTCTGTCATTGATTATTGTAATTGTCTTTCTAATATGCTAATTTAGATAATTGGGTACAGCTTTTTTTTTTTTTAAGTCATTTCCTTGGATTATATACTCTAAAATGGAATTTACAAGTCATAGGGTCACTTCTACAACCAATTACTTTTTGCCCAGTTGATAACCCAACAGAGAGAGGTGTAATGATCTGGAGTGTCACCAACAGTGTAAAACTTCCTTCATAGGTCTATCAGTATTACATTTGACTATTTACGTGTGTGTGTGTGTGTGTGTGTATTTTTTTTCTCCTAATCCTCACCCAAGGACACTTTTGCATTTAGCTTCAGATAGAGCAGGAGGGAGAGAGGGAGGAAGAGAGAAATAGAGAAATATTGATGTGAGAGAGACACATTGACTGGTGGCCACCGGCAAAACCCCAGCCGGGGCCAGGGACCAACCGTAACTGAGGTGCGTGCCCTTAGTGAGAACTGAACCCAGGACTCTCTGGTCCACAAGCTGACGCTCTAACCGCTGAGCCCAACTGGCCAGGGCTCAATATATCTTTGCCTACTTGAAAATTATGAGGCATTTTGTCTTACTTTTTTTTTTCTTTATTGATTTTTAGAGAGAGGGGAAGGAAGAGGGAGAGAGAGAGAGAGAAACATCAATGAGAGAGAACACCGATTGGCCACCTCCTGCATGTCCCCCACTGGGGATCTGGCCTACAACCTGGGCATGTGCCCTGACCGGGAATCAAACCAACGAGCTCTTGGTACATGAGTCAGTGCTCAACCACTGAGCCATACTGGCCGGACTGTCTTACATTTGTTTAAAACTTATGTTTTCAATGATTTTTTAGAGAGAGGGGAAGGGAGAGAGAGATAGAAACATCGATGTGAGAGAGAAACATCCATCGGCTGCCTTCTGCACACTCCCTACTGGGGATTGAGCACGCAACTCAGGTATGTGTCCTGACCAGGAATCAAACCGGGACCTCTCAGTGCATGGGACAATGCTCAGTCCACTGAGCCACACTGGCTGGGCTTTTCTTACATTTTTAAAACTGAAGGATTGATGGGTATTTTCTCAAGTGTTTGTTTTAAATTTGTTCTTATTTTGTGATCTATATCTTTATTTATTACATATTTGCCCCAGATTGTTGCTTTTTAATCTTAATTCTGTTTATTTACATTATTCTAATATTTTAATTTTTTTGTAGTTGAACTCCATCAGCTTTGTCATTTATATTTTCTCCTATTGCTACAGTAGCTGGAAAATTGTCATCTTTCTATAACTACAATAAATATATGGTTCATGGTAGTTAAAAAAAATTCAAGAATGGGGACTCTGGTCAAGATGGCGGTGTAGGTAAATGCGGTATCACGTCCTCCCACAACCACCTCAAAGTTACAACTAAACTACAGAACAACCATCATTCAAACCAACCTGAGATCAAGCTGAATGGAAGTCCTACAACTATGGAATTAAAGAAGCAGCCACATTGAGACTGGTAGGATAGGCGGTGGTGGCGGGCTGGTCCCAAACCCACGTGTGGCGGATAAAATTCAGGAGGACACCTTGACTGGGAAGGTCCTCCCTGAGGACTGAGGGGTCCCTGTCCAACACCAGACGCCCCGCTCAGGGTTCTAGTGCCAGGAAGAGAAGTTCCCATAATTCTGGCTGGAAAAACCAGCAGGAACTTAGGCTCAGGGAGGCTGACACGGCTGGAGCCCCAGGTAGCTCCTTAAAGGGCCTGTGCATGGACTTATCAGACTCACTCCCTCTAAGCTTGGAAGGGAGGCAGCTCGAGGGGCGCCAGAGACATACAGGGAAGAACTGAGCTATTTGGTACTGGAGCGAGGGCTGGAGAGGGGGCTTTCTCCAGTACAAATGTGCTGTCGGAGGCCTTTATTCCTTTGGTGAGTCCTTTTCTGAAGCAGCAGACAGTCTCCATATCTGGGACTCCAGCAACCTGGCTCACACTGGTAGCTCCGCCCTGGTGATTCCCTGAGGCCCCGCCCCACCCAACTTTCAGGCCCACCCAGCTGTTGCCAGTTGCTTAACCATAGGATTGGCCTGTCTTGGATCTTGCTTCAAGTTTTCCTAAATTCTTTCAAACAAGCAGCATCTGGTCTCAGATAGCCCCATACCTCTCGTTAAGTAATACATAGAAACAAACACAGAGAGGCAGCCAAAATGAGACAAAGAAACAGGTCCCAAATGAAAGAACAGAACAAAACCCCAGGAAAAGAACTAAGTGAAATGGAGATAAGCAACCTAACAGATGCTGAGTTTAAAATATTGCTTATAAGGATGCTCAATGAACTTAGTGAGGGCCTGGAGAGCATTAAAAAGGACCAGTCAGAAATGAAGGATGCACAGTTAGAAATGAAGGAGGCACTAAATGAAATAAAGAATAATTTACACATATTCAATAGTAGAGTAGGTAAAACCAAGAAGCAAACCATCGATTTGGAATATAAGGAAGCAAAAAACACCCAATCAGAACAGCAAAAAGAAAAAAGAATCCAAAAAAATGAGGATAGTGTAAGGAGCCTCTGGGACAACTTCAAGCATGCCAACATTCGCATCTTGGGGGTGCCAGAAGGAGAAGAGAGAGAACAAGAAATCGAAAACCTATTTCAAACAATAATGGCAGAAAACTTCCCTAACTTGGTGAAGGAAACAGACATACAAATCCAGGAAGCACAGAGAGTTCCAAACAAGATGAACCCCAAAAGGCCCACACCAAGACACATCATCATCAAAATGCAAAAGATTCGAGACAAAGAAAGAATCTTAAAAGCAGCAAGACAAAAGCAGTTAGTTAGCTAAAAGCAGTTAGTCAAGGGAGTTCCCATAAGACTGTCAGCTGATTTCTCAAAAGAAACTTTACAGGCCAGAAGGGAATGGCAAGAAATATTCAGAGTGATGAAAAGCAAGAACCTACAACCAAGATTACTCTATCCTGCAAAGCTGTCATTTAGAATCGATGGCCATATAAAGACTTTTCCAGACAAGAAAAAGTTAAAGGAGTTCATCACCACCAAACCGTTATTATATGAAGGGTCTTTTTGAAGAAAAAGATAAAATATATGAACAAATAAAATGGCAATGAATACACATCTATCGGCAATGGAATCTACAAACAAAATGAACAGGCACAACAGAAACATTCTCATAGATACAGAGAACATTTTGTTGGTTGCCAGATGGGAGGGGGCCTGGGGAAATGGGTGAAAAAGGTGAAGGGATTAAGAAGAACAAACTGGTTGCTAGACTGACAAACCTCAAAGAGAAGGGGATTGGGGGGTGGGAAGAAATAAACCAAAGAACTTATATGCATAACCAATGGTCACAGACAACAAACAGTGTGGGAAAACACAGGAGGGAGGGCGGGAATGGGGACGAGGGGGTCAGTGGAGGAAAAATGAGGAACATCTGTAATACATTCAACAATAAAGATAAAAATAAAAAAAATTCAAGAATGGCCCTGGCTGGTTTGGCTCTGCGGTTAGAGCGTTGGCCTGCGGACCAGAAAGTCTGGGGTTCGGTTCCTGCTAAAGGCTTGTACCTCGGTTGCAGTTTATCCCTGGCCCCTGATGGTTGTGTGGGTGGCAGCCAGTCGATGTGTCTCTCTCATATCGATGTTTCTCTCTCTCTCTTCCTCCCTCTCTCCCTCCCACTCCATTCTATCTGAAGATAAATGCAAAAATGTCCTCGGGTGAGAATTAAAAAAAAAAAAAAAATTCAAGAATGTATCAGTATTATTACTTAATTTATTCAATATTATTTATTTGTTTATTTTCAATCTGGTTCATTTTAAAGAAATTTTATTTTTCAATTATAGTTTACAATCAATATTATTTTGTATTAGTTTCAGGTGTACAGCATAATGGTTAGATAATCACATACTTTGCAAATCGTTTCACCCAATATTTCTAGTACCCTCCTGGCATCATACATAGTTATTGCATTACTGACTATATTCCCTATGCTGTACTTTACATCCTCATGACTGTTTTGTAACTACCAATTTGTACATCTTAATCCCTTCACCTTTTTCATCTACCCCTTCTTCTCTGGCAACCATCTATCTATTCTCTGAATATTTGAATCTGTTTTGTTTGTTCATTTATTTTATTCTTTAGCTTCCACATATAAGTGGAATCATATGGTATTTGTCTGACTTAACATAATATCCTCTAGGTTCATCCATGCTGTCTCATGATAAGACTTACTCTTTTTTTATGGCCAAGTAATGTTCCATTGTGCATATGTACCACAACTTTTTAATCCACTCACCTGTTGATGGGCACTTGGGTTGCTTTGATATCTTGACTATTGTAAATAACACTGTAATGAACATAGGGGTGCATATATTCTTTCGATTAGTGTTTTGGATTTCTTCAGATATATACCCAGAAGCGGAATCGCTGGGTCATAAGGCAGTTTCATTTTTAATTTTTTGAGGAACCTCCATAATGTTTTCCATAGTGACTGTACCAATCTGCATTCCCACCCACAGAGGATTCCCTTTTCTCCACATCCTTGCCAACACTTGTTTATTGATTTGATGACAACCATTCTGACAGGTGTGAAGTGATATCTCATTTTGGTTTTAATTTTCATCTCTCTGATAATTAGTGATGCTGTACATTTTCTTGTATGTCTGTTGGCTGTTTGTATGTCCTCTTTAGAGAAGTATCTATTCAGGTCTTCTGCCCACTTTTTAATTGGATTGCTTTTTTTTTTTTTGGTGCTGAGTTGTATGAGCTCTTCTAAATTTTTGGTGTTAATGCCATATCATTGGTGAATATGTTCTTCCATTCATTGGGTTGTCTTTTTGTTTTGTTGGTTTCCTTTGTTGTGCAAAACTTTTTAGTTTTATGTAGTCTTGTTTGTTCATTTTTTCTTCTGTTTCTTTTGCCTAAGGAGTTATGACAGAAAAAATATTCCTAAGAGAAATATCACAGATTTTACTATGAGCATTATGGTTTCAAGTCTTACATTTAAGTTTTTAATCCATTTTCAATTTATTCTTATATATAGTGTAAGAAGGTGGTCTAAGTTTTTTTTTTTTTTTGCATGTTTCTGTCCAGTTTTCCCAATACTATTTATTGAAAAGACTGTCCATACTCCATTGTATGTTCTTGCCTCCTTTGCCATATATTAATTGAATCTTGCCCTTTTTGAATTTAGAAATCATTTCAGATTGGTAATGTATAACCCTGAGTTTTCCTCTGTAATGAAATTTGACTTCTATACTCTCAAAAGATCTATTAGGAAAAATATTACATAAAAACAAGATGCGTCTGGCTGGTGTGGCTCAATGGTTGAGTGTTGACCCATGCACCAGGAGGTTGCTGGTTTGATTACCAGTTGGGACACATGCCCAGGTTGTGGGCCCGATCCCGGGTGGGGGACGTGCAGGAGGTGGCCAATCGATGTTCTTGCTCATCGATGTTTCTGTCTCTCTCTAAAATCAATAAAGGAAAAAACAATTCAAAACAAAAAACAAGATGCTTTACTGGTGGTCTGTTTAAAGACAGAGAGGTGTGTGTGTGTGTGTGTGTGTGTGTGTGTGTGTGTGTGCGCGCGCGCGCGCACGCGTGCTTTTCTTAAGGATTTACAGAGAATACCATGGTTGTCTTCATTGTATTATCTCCTTGGTTCACTGTAGGAAGACAGTAATTAGGACTTGGGGAACTAACTTTTCTATCAGTAAAGTATTTCTCCTTAATTGGAATTTTGATTTATAAATTATTGTTTTATACTAAATGACATGCTTATGTTTTTTGTTGCTAAACTAGTTTATTGCCAGATAAGCAATGATTACCGTTTAACCTACTGAATAATGCCCCCCCCTTTTTTTGCATATGTGTTCTTAGTACACTCAGAAGAAGCCTTGTTTTTACTGGCAACCTGTTATTACCGCTCAGGAAAGGCATATAAAGCATATAGACTCTTGAAAGGACACAGTTGTACTACACCGCAATGTAAATACCTGCTTGCAAAATGTTGTGTTGATCTCAGCAAGTAAGTTTAAAAAATTTTTTTTCTATCTAATTTTGTTCCTACTTATACCGTAGAATTTGGGATAAAATTCTTTTGATGGATTAAACTATGATTGATTACCTTCTCCCCTCTTTTTTGGTAGTAGAGATTTGCCATTTCAGTAACTTTTCAAAATGTTTATACAATTTTCTGTAACATTATTATTTTTGTTATGGAAAGACTTCATTGTTATGGTAATAAGTAATTGAATTTAACTTTGGAGAAACTTAAGTTATAACTAATTTATATCATTGTCTAAAATCCCGAGTGCTCTTTCCTTTCCTTTGCTTTCATTGTTAGGCTAATTGGGATAAGCCTGAAACCTACTTACCACTTCATTTGCGATTAATGCTCTCTTGTGTCTAGGTAGTTGTGTAATTATTGGCCTTTCAAGATCATTCTGTTTGTGAACCACTACTCCTATCCCTTTGAAGCAATGGGGCAGATTCAGGAGAGTACTTCTTTTGCACATTACTGTTAAACCAAGTCAGTGTCCCAGTTCTGAATTTGGAAACAGCTAGGGGTATAGGTAGTTATGTCCTCTAAGAGATGGAATAAAAGTGACTAGACGTATAATTGTAAAAGCCTGTGTATATATTTTGTTTGTAGGTTTACAGATTTTATTTGATGGCTTTTAAATTAAAGCTAGCTACAATATGTATAACTTTCTGAGAAATTTGTTACTGAATTATTTTTACTCCAAGGATTCTAAATGTTAAATTCTTAAAGATCTATTTACTTAATTTACCAGTTTCTTAAGCCAGTTCTTATGTTAGACATTCTTACTCCATTTACAAATCATTATAGTTTTTTAAAAAAATTCACTGACAGTAAAAAAACTTTAGATATTACCTTTTTTTTTTTTTTTTTTTTTTAATCCTCACCCGAGGACATTTTTCCATTTTTTGCACAGATAGAGTGGGAGGGAGAGAGAGGAAGAGAGAGAGAGAGAGAGAAACATCGACGTGAAAGGGACACATCGAGTGGCTGCCACCCACACGACCAACCAGGGCCGGGGACAAACTGCAACCAAGGTACATGCCCTTAGCGGGAACCGAACCCGGGTCTCTCCAGACCGCAGGCCGATGCTCTAACCGCTGAGCCAAACCGGCCAGGGCTAGATATTACCTTTTATATGTAAACTTACTTGAGAGTTTTCTACATGATGATTTGGAAAAAACTTTAAAATACAAACCATTATAAACTCTGATATGCTGAAAATATATATACTGAAATCAGGCAAAAATTTTTCCTTTGGTTAAAGTTTATGATTTTCTATATCAAGAAAAGTTAATTGAAAAATAGAGTTGACGTGCTATTCAAGTTCCATTTATAAACCTAAAAATGACTGAGGCCATTAAGTATGCAATTTTTAATAAAGTATGTTAGTCTTATTTAATTTGCTTGCAAATTTCTGTTTCAAGTAATTATAGAATTAAGAAGGGTCACCATGTTTGTTAATGAAAAACCATGTATATTTTACCCCCTGTATAATGGTCTTTTCTTTTTTCTTTTTTTTAATCCTCACCCGAGGATATTTTTCTATTTATCTTCAGATAGAGTGGGAGGGAGGGAGAGAGAGGAAGAAAGGGAGAGAGAGAGAGAAACATCGATGTGAGAGAGACATATTGACCCTTTGCCTCCCTGGGGACTGCGACCAGGGCTGGGGACGCACTACAACCAAGGTTCGTGCCCTTGGCGGAACCAAACTTGAGACTCAATGGTCTGTGGGCCAATGCTCTAACCGCTAAGCCAAATTGGCCAGGGCCAGTCTTTTATTTCTTTTGACATGAGTATTGTATATGTTGTTCAGATGAGATTTGAACATACAAAGACTAAATTTAACTGGTTCTGTTTTTAAAGGCAAGATGGGAATTTTAAAATCACAAATTCTTAGTCTCCCAAATGACTCTAAATAAAAATTTATTGGAATTCTGAAAGTACCATGAGCTTTTTATTTTACCTATTTTTATATTAAGAGAGAACATTAGTAATGAAGAATGTATTTACACTGAGGACTTTTTATATTGACTTTTTAATATCTGTAAATTTGTTTTAAAGGCTTGCTGAAGGGGAACAGATCTTATCTGGTGGAGTGTTTAATAAACAGAAAAGCCATGATGATATTGTTACTGAGTTTGGTGATTCAGCTTGCTTTACTCTTTCATTGCTGGGACATGTATATTGGTAAGAATCTTTCGAATTATCAAAAAATTGTCTCCAATACTAGAATGCTCTGTGGTTTTAAATACCTGTGCTGATCTGAGTAGTACACAGTATTCTAGTTCCATGACCTAGATATCATCACCTGAGGATATGTTTTTATTGATTTGAGAGAGGGAGAGAAACATCCATGTGTGAGAGAAACATTGGTTGTCTCCTATATGCACTAGGACTGGGGATTGAACCCACAACCTTTTGGTGTACAGGACAGTGCTCCAACCAACTGAGCCACCCAGCCAGGGCTTGTTATCTTTTATCTCCAGTATTTTGATAGATACTTTATTAGTCTTTTTGTCTACAGTAGCACATGAGGCTTCTATGTTTAGGATACAACTGATAGTAAGGCTGGTTCTTAGATTAATCTGTTTCTTCCCAATACCATTTAAATAATTATTTTTACCCCAATTAGGGAAACTCCTTTCTGGGGTTTAGTAAAAAGTCCATCTAAAGTTTGAATACTCCAAGTTGTTTAATTTTCTTAAATCTTTTTTTCCTTTTTATCTCTCTATTGAATGAATAATTAGAGATTTATCTCCCAGATCGAATCATTATAGTTCCATATCTGTCTTCTTCCCCAGTTAGCTCTTCTATTATTTATACATCTATCTGTATCACTCTCTGTGTGTATATATACGTGGATCTAATCTCTTCTTAGCAGACACTAATTTTGTTTTAAATTTCTTCCATTTTATGATCTGGTAATCAGATCATGGCTTATAAAAATTAGCCTTGCCAACTTATTAAAAGTTTAAAAGAATTTTTCTTTTGCTAAAGTAAAAATAAATAAATAAATAATATTAGAGAAGAGGATTTTCATTACAAAGGATCACCTCTTACATTTCTAGAATATTTTTTCTCAACTAGATTATTCAATCTGTTCTTGAATTAGTTTGTCCACCACTTTTCTGGGCAATAAATAATTCTTACAAATAAAAACATCTGTTTTATGTTACATTGTACAAGCAAACAGGAAAGAGATAATATAAAAATGTGTTTATTGAATCAAATTAAGAAAGTATGGGAAGCTAGATATCCTTCAAATAGTGGTATTTATGTTTATTACTTGCAAAATTTGGAAGTAAGGCAAACTAATATTCTAGTTTCCCAAGGGGGCCTTCTTCACAGTTCTCTGAGATTATACTGACAGACAGCACTTATAACAAATTATATATTTTAGCTTATAGTTTTATTTGAAGACTCTCTTGAAAATCTTGGTTTGATGCCACTTGGCCCTTTATAGAGTTTTGGAAGAATTGCTGTATCTTAATTTTTTTCCCATTATATGTATAATGAAGAATTTCCACCTCAGACCAGGTAATTGTATTCTTTACTTGAAAGCTTCAATGAGTCTCACTAACCCTCAACCCCATCCACCCTCCCATTTAAAAGCTAGGGAGATAACAATACTAGTCTAGTAATTTCTAGATTGTTACAAGTATATTGTTTCAGGGATGTTGTTTACATTCTAAATGTAAGCCTTTATACACCTGACTTAGAAACATAAAATTTTCTTTTAAGAGCTATCACCTCTACATTGTTAGAAAATCTGATCACTTAGATATGCTATATTTAAAGCATTTAAGTCACTAACAAATTACCACAAGAATATTATTATTTTTTTTTTTATTCTCACCCGAGGACACTTTCCCATATTTTGTTCAGATAGAGTGGGAGGGAGAGAGAGAGAGAGAGAAACATCCACGTGAAAGGGACATCGAGTGGTTGCCACCCACACGACCCAACCAGGGCCGGGGACAGACTGCAACCGAGGTACGTGCCCTTAGTGGGAACTGAACCCTGGTCTTTCTGGACCACAGGCTGATGCTCTAACCGCTGAACAAAACTGGCCAGGGCTACCACAAGAATATTATATTAAAAATTAAGAAAATGAGACTGAAACATTTGGGTGTTTGTTTGTTTTTTATCCTCACCCGAGGACAGTTTATCATTTTTTATTTAGATAGAGTAGGAAGGAGAGAGAGGAAGAGAGAAACATCGACATGAAAGGGACATATTGAGTGGCTGCCACCCGCACGACCCAACCAGGGCCGGGGACAAACTGCAACCAAGTTACATGCCCTAGCGGGAACTGAACCCAGGTCTCTCTGGACCGCAGGCCAATGCTCTAACCACTGAGCAAAACCGGCCAGGGCTGGATGTTTTTTATATCTCCTTCAGTAATTCTAGTATCTGACAATAAATTTAAAGCATTATAATATTCAAGATGGCACTGATAGTTTATTTTGTTAGCATTCCTTTCCATTCATGTTCTGTTTGTTTTAGCTGACTTTTGGCTTGATCTGCCTAAATAATAGAGATTGGAGGATGATAATAAGAGGAAATTAGTGATTTAGGGAAGCATCAAGAAGAGTGTTCTCAGAACTTTTTATAGGATTTACCTAATTCCTGTACCAGAAATTTCTTTATAATATATGTTTCGGTTTTGTAATTTGTCTAATCTATTTGTCTTTACAGCAAAACAGATCGGCTTGCCAAAGGATCAGAATGTTACCAAAAGAGCCTTAGTTTAAATCCTTTCCTCTGGTCCCCCTTTGAATCATTATGTGAAATAGGTAGGTTTATAGAAGTGACTGTGGTTGGGTGGGAGGGGCGGTCCCCATTTCCTCTTCTTTATTTTTTTTCCTGCTTAATTTTTGGAATATGATACAAATTATCCAGAAAAACATATTTTTCAAAGTCTTAAGGGTTGTTAAAATTGAGAACAAGAAATAAGATAGAATTATATGTTTTTAGGAATAATGTGGCCTTTCTTTTGTCCTCTAGCATGAATTGTATTATGAGTATAGCACTCTCCAAAACAGCCTTCTGGATAAGAAAAGAAATAAATAGAATGTCCAGTGCAGAAACTGTAATATAAATAAGACGTGGAAAATATGTGGAGAGAGTGTCTAAATATATATATATATATATATGTATATATATATATATATAAAATTATATATATAATTTCACGCATATATATATGCGCTCTAGGATGCATGAAGGATCATTTTCTTTTTTATTATTTTTTTAAATGTTTTATTGATTGTAGAGAGGAAGGGAGAGAGGGATAGAAACATGGATGTGAGAGAGAAATATCGATGGGCTGTCTCCTATATGCCCCCTACTGGGGATTGAGTCCACAACCTGGGCATATGCCCTGACCTGGAATTGAACTGGTGATCTCTTGGTGCATGGGACAATGTTCAACCCACTGAGCCACACTGGCCAGGAATGAAGGATCATTTTAAAACATTGTGTTTATGCCCTGGCCGGTTTGGCTCCGCGGTTAGAGTGTTGACCCGCAGACCAGAGAGTCCCAGGTTCAGTTCCCACTAAGGGCACATACCTCTCGGTTGCAGTTTGTCCCTGGCCCTGGTTGGGGTTGTGTGTATGGCAGCCGGTCAATGTGTCTCTCTCCCATCGATGCCCCCCCCCCACCCGCTCTGTCTGAAGATAAATGGAAAAATTGTCTTCAGGTGAGGATAAAAAAAAAACATTGTGTTTATATACATGAAAGTGCTTAAAACTTTACTGTGATATCTAGTGGGTTTCAACTCTCCTCACTCCTTACCTTGAGCAAAATGAGAGATCTAGATCTTTCTGCTTTACAACAAACACAGAAACCTACATCTTCCTGTGGTTTATTATATTTAAAATCAACGTCATTGCTGTTTAGTTTATTTCCTAAATTTACAGCTTTATGTTAGGGGTAACTTTTGCAATAAATTGATGAATGGGCTTTTGGGAGGTTAATTTGAACAGCTGAAACAGACAGGAGAACTTTAAAACTCTGGAAAGGGGCCATTTCCACTGATTTATACATACCTGAAAAAAAAAAAATTAACCTTCATTTCTTCAGAGGCAAACTTTTTCTTTTTTTCCCACAGGTGAAAAGCCAGATCCTGACCAAACATTTAAATTAACCTCTTTACAGAACTTTAGCAACTGTCTGCCCAACTCTTGCACAACAGTAGTATCTAATCATAATTTATCTCACAGACAGCCTGAGACGGTTCTTACGGAAACACCCCAGGACACAATTGTAAGTGTATCATATTCTACTGTTCAAAATATTATGAAAATGAAAAATAATGTTCTGAACTAAATGATATATTGTAAATGACATGATAGAAATTTTCTGTTTCAGGAATTAAACAGACTGAATTTAGAATCTTCCAATTCAAAGTATTCCTTGAATACAGATTCCTCAGTGTCTTATATTGATTCAGCTGTAATTTCACCAGATACTGTCCCTCTTGGAACAGGAACTTCCATATTATCTAAACAGGTTCAAAATAAACCAAAAACTGGTCGAAGCTTATTAGGAGGACCAACTGCTCTTAGTCCATTAACCCCCAGGTAAGACAAACAAAAGATAGTTTTAAATATGCTGTAATATTAAATATTGTAATAATTCATATTATTAGTAATAGGAATTATTATGAACAACAACTTATAAATCATTATGGAAATAGAGGCATTTAATAAGTCAGTAATGGATTTATTCTGTTTTCAGAAAATGAAGTAAAAAAATAAAGTACCTGTGATAAAAATGTAATATTAAATATTGGAAAAAATTTTAAACTCTAAGTATGCCCTGTTGAGCTAGTGTATGCATTAATAGATGTTGTCTTGTCCTGGCCAGTCTGGCTCAGTGGTTAGTGCGTTGGCCTGCAGACCAAAGTTGCGGGTGAGATTCCTAGTCAAGGGCATGTACCTAGGTTCCAGGTTCCATCCCTGGCCCCCATCAGGGTCATGTGGGAGGCATCTAATCAATGTGTCTCTCTCACATTGATGTTTCTCTCACTCTCTCTCTCTCTCCCCCTCCCTCCCTCTCTCCCTCCTTTCCACTCTCTAAAAATCAGTGGAAAAAATATCCACGGGTGAGGATTAACAACAAAAAAAGACGTTGTCTTTAAGGTTGTACATCAGTGAATAGTAATGCACCTCTTGAAATATTGGAATGTTTATTATATAATCAGACAGTGGTTGTTGTTAAAGTGCTGTTTTCCAGAGATGGAGGAAGGAATGACACCTATTAATACGAAATATTTTTGTCAAAATTATTAGAAGTATATATGTATAAATACAGGAACCCAACCCAGTAGATACATATCCAAAAGTATCAAAATAAAAAATTATATGCTAGAATGGACTGTGAGTTGGATCCCAGGGCCAGGAAGCTATTAAAATAGTATAACCATGAGATGATAACTACTCATCCAATCCATAAATGGATTCATAAATGGATTCAATGATCTCTACAAACATTTTCTCTGTAATGGTGTCTAAATCCCATAAATTCCAAGAATTTGAAATAATTTGATCATTTGGAACTTAGCTTTTATAAAGCCACTCTTATTTCTAATAAATCTCCTGAGATCAATAGTTGCTGCTCAATTTAGTCTTGTTGGATTGGTTTTTTAAAATTTTAGTTATGGTGGGTGGAATAGTCTACATTCATAGCTTATTTTTAATCTGCCCCTTAGATCCTCACTGCCCCCAAGACTGATTTGCCATTCTCTTCCTTTTAGACCTTCTAATTTAAGTATACTGCTGCTTTATATATGCCTTGATGACTTTTTGACACCTTGATTTCAACCTCTTCTCAGTTTTGGGATTTTGCCATTAGAAACCCCAAGTCCTGGAGATGGATCCTATTTACAAAACTACACTAATACATCTTCTGTAATTGACGTGCCACCCACCGGAGCCCCTTCAAAAAAGGTATTTTCCACGTAAAATATCATTTTGGTACTGATGAAAGAAATTCATTTAAAATCCAGCCTGTTAAAAGCAATTTCATAGAGAATCTAACTTTATGTATTTGTTGTTGCCTTGGAGTTGTTGAACCAATTGTAAAAGTTGTCACTGTCATAGTCTCCTAGTTATAGTCGGAGACACAAAGCTGGTTTTTGTTTTTTACCACATTTGATTAAAACAAGTATAGTTTATTTCAACATTCAGCTAAATAAACATTTAGATTCTTTTAAATTCCTGGTTTTTATGAAATTAAGATTGTTTCTGTCACTTTAAATATAAATAAGAAATATATTTGCCGTAGTTTTTATTTGTCTCCACCACCATGTTGGTTTTTTAATTATACTAATATTAAAATGAAAAAAAAGATTGACTTAGTAAAGCCAGCTGCTTCTGATAATAAAATTGCTATAGTGGATCCTCATAGATGTATAGTAAAATTTATAATAAATTTGTAATAAAATGAAAAATATTTGACAGTATTCTTTTTTTTCCCTTGATATTTTGTTCAGATAGAGTGGGAGGGAAAGAGAGAGAGAGAGAAACATCGACGTGAAAGGGACACATTGAGTGGTTGCCACCCACATGACCCAACCAGGGCTGGGGACAAACTGCAACCAAGGTACGTGCCTTTAGCAGGAACCGAACCCGGTCTCTCCAGACCGCAGGCCAGTGCTCTAACTGCTTAGCCAAACTGGCCAGGGCGACGGTATTTTTATAGTAAATGCATACTGGAACAAGTTTTGAGACTCTCTTTATATTCTTTTATGAAGAGCTATAGTAGTAGAAGCCAAAGTGTCATTTGTTTAAAAGATATCTGTGGTGCAGGGTATCTTATGATAATTAAATTGGTTTATATGTGTGAAATGCCTATTTGCCGTGCTTAGTAGATGTTTAAGAAATGGAAGCAGCCCAGCCTGTGTTCAGTTGATTGAGCATAGTTGTCCCACGCACCAAGGAGGTCACTGGTTCGGTTCCTGGTCAGGGCACATACCCAGGTTGCCAGCTTGATCCCCAGAAGGGAGCGTGCAACAGGCAGCCAATTGATGATTCTCTCTCGTCAATGTTTCTATCTCTCTCTCCTTTCCCCTTCCTTTCCATAAAATCAATAAAAACATATTTTTTTTAAAAAGTAAAGAAATGGAACCTAATTGAGTAATACTACTATGTGAACTACCAATATAGCCCCCTTACCCTTCCAGAAACATGTTTTTTTTTATTGTTTTTACTCTTTCACTCCTGAACTTCCTGAGTCTAACAAAAACAAAACAAAACAAAATTTCTATATTAGCTCTAAGAGTGCTGAAAAGAGACTGCAAAGTAGTTGAAGTGTGGATTATTTTAAACGTGATCTCTAAAAGTTGGCAACTACCTGATATTGCATTGTTACGAGAGTGAAATATAATTGTGGAAATTAGTTTATTACAGTTATGAAAAGGCAGAGTAGCATGGTAGTTAGCATACCAGGTGAAATAGGCCAAAACCAGTCAAGCCACTGCAGTCAGGACAAGTTAAGCAGTGAAAGGTACATGATTTCAGTACCCAAATAATAAAAGCTACTTATTGTCTCATCCTCTTCTGCCTCTGTCCTCTTCTTACCCTATTACAAGATGTTCTTAGAAAAGCTGTACTTGTAGGTCTACATTTCAGTATCAACTAAAAATATCAAACTGAGTGCCTGACCAGTGTGGCTCAGTTAGTTGGTTGAGCATTGTCCTATAAACCAAGAGGTCTTTGTTTCGATTTCCTGTCAGGGCACATGCCCGGATTTGGGGCTCTATCCCCAATAGGGGGCATGCAGGGGACAGTCAATTGATGTTTTTCTCTCATCAATGTTTCTGTCTCTCCCTCTCCCTTCTGTCTCTCTAAAATCAATACAGACATTTAAAAAATAAAAATATTAAACCAAGTAGTGAGTGTAGTACATAGTTCTTAGTTAAATAAGGAAGGGCCAGAATTGACTTTAAGTTTTGCCCCTTGAGTGAATGTAGAAGGAAGAGGAGGAAGGAGTATAAAGTTTTATTTTGAAGTGGTGGCAGATTATGTGAAAACATTCAGTGGATAGTTAGTCATACAGGAAAGAATATGAGCTGGTGATATAAATAATAATTAAAGCTGTTAAGATGGCCAACCTTATCTAGGGAAAGAGAGTAGCTAAGGAGCACAGTTAGTGGTAGAAAGAGGGGCCAGCAAAATTAAGTGCTAAGAGAAATAATAAAGATTTTATACTATTTTGGAAATTATACAAAGTTTCACATAATCAGTGATGATGAGTGCAGGAAAGGCCAAAATAAGGCTTTCATATCTGATGAAAAAGTGGCTAAATTTAAAGTGCAGTTAGAGAATTATGTATAGTGACCATCAAAGAAACATAAGTTTTGAAGAAAATTATTTGGTAGTAAAAAAAATTGTACATATTCATTGACACAATAGTCATTGATCACTTTATAATGAAGCTAAGAGAGAAAATGAATAGAAATAAGGTGATAAATTAGAGAAGACAAAAGGGGGCAAGCAAAGGGTTTTATTCCACCCTCCAGGGAGCAGAGACTAATTAACGAAAGATTGAATTCACTAAAAAGAAATATTAATTCTAAGAGTGATATAATTAGATTATTTATTTTTTAATCTGCTTCTCTCACTGCTGTAGGTATCCCCCACTGTCCAAAAGTAGAGCATTCATGAAACCTTTTATAAGCTGGAATAGTTTAAAGCAAAGGTAGTCCATTACCATTAATTTATATGGAAAAATTTTGAGCATTCCCAGACCCCAAATTCAATGCATGCACACATTTATTTTGTTCACCAAAATTGAACCACTTAATTACATCCAGTTTTTCACTAAGCATAACATCCCTGTGAGCCCTCTTAAGCATTTCTGATACTTTAGGACATATCTTGCTAACGAGTGCACAAAATAAAGCACAGATGCTCACAGACATAGTTCCATACTCTGGCAGCTTGATGCTGAGATACTAAGTATAGTTGCCAGGAAAGGAGCTTAGTAGTGCCACTAACACTTAGACCCAACTGAAAAAGATATATAATAAATGGGTTCCAGGAATTTTGAGCTTTTCCTTAGCAACTAAAGTGAAAGATGACAGGATAGTATAAACATAAAAATACTAGGGTTTAAAATGTGGAAATAGGGTGATGTTCATTCTAATATGTCATTAGTAATGACAAATAATGACATTAATAGTTTTCAAATGACAGTAATATAAGATCTTTGGGAAAATGAAAATGAGAGCATCATGTCTTTCATTATTTACAATGCAATTTATAATTCACAAACCTTAGACTTTTTGTGTTTTACAGTCTGTTGCCAGAATCGGCCAAACTGGAACAAAGTCTGTCTTCTCACAGAGTGGAAATAGTCGAGAGGTAACTCCAGTTCTTGTTGCACAAACACAAAGTTCTGGCCCACAAACAAGGTATTTATTATAGTGTCATTATTTGATATTGTTCAGCTTTTCTTGCTATATTTCAATAGAGGCAAGTTTTGACTCACCCAAGAATTCTAGAATGACTGTTAATAAATTTTGAATATGTCAAATTTGAAATGTCTAACTTACCAAAAAGAATAGTGTATTTTCAGTTGAATACCATAATGCAAATCAAGACAAGAATTAGCTAAAATGTCATTTTAGTTTATTTTAATTGCCTCATGAATTTATTTAAACTAGATATTCCAAACATTCCTCGAAAGTAATTTTCCTCTTATTTACATGACCTTCTCTACTGGTCAAGTACAGATACGTTTCATTTTCCCCTTCTCCCTCTATTATGCATTTCTATAAACAGATAAATACAACCCTTTCTCCTCCTAAAATAGTAAACATGTACCATAAGTCTTAAAAGTCAACAAGTGCAGCCCTGACCAGTTTGGCTCAGCGGTTAGAGCGTCAGCCTGCAGTCCAGAGAGACCCGGGTTCGGTTCCTGCTAAGGGCATGTACCGCAGTTGCAGTTTGTCCCCGGCCCTGGTTGGGTCGTGCAGGTGGCAACCACTCGATGTGTCCCTTTCACGCCGATGTTTCTCTCTCTCTCTCTCTCTCCCTCCCACTCGATCTGAACAAAAAATGGAAAAATGTCCTCGGATGAGGATTAAAAAAAAAGTCAACAAGTGCATATACCTTGACTATATAAAAGGCCTCAATATTTCTTTTTTTTTTTTATTTAAACTTATCTTTATTGTTGAATGTATAAAAGATGTCCCTCCTTTTTCCCCTATTGACCCCCTCCTCCTGCTCCCACCCCGCTCCTGCCTTCCTCACACTATTGTCTGTGTCCATTGGTTATGCATATAAGTTCTTTGGTTTATCTCTTCCCAACCCCCCTGACCTCCTTCCCGTTGAGGTTTGTCAGTCTAACAACCAATTTGTACTTCTTAATCCCTTCACCTGTTTCACCCATTCCCACAACACACCTGGCAACTAACAAAAAGTTCTCTGTATGTTTCTGTTCTGCTTGCTCATTCTGTTTATAAATTCAATTGTTGATAGATAGGTATTTTTTGCCATTTTTTTGTTCATATTTTTTATCTTTTTTTCCTTCAAGAAGACCCTTCAACATTTTATATAATACTTGTTTGGTGATGAAGAACTCCTTTAGCTTTTTCTTGTCTGGGAAACTCTTTATATGTCCATTGATTCTAAATAATAGCTTTGCAGGACTGAGTAATCTTGGTTGTAGGTTCTTGCTTTTCATCACTCTGAATATTTATTGCCACTCCCTTCTGGCCTGCAAAGTTTCTTTGGGAAAATCAGCTGATAGTAGCTCCCTTGTAGGTAACTAACGGCTTTTTTCTTGCTGTTAAGATTCTCTTTGGCCCAGCCAGTGTGGCTTAGTGGTTGAGTGTTGACTCATGCACCAAGAAGTTGCCAGTTCAATTCCTGGTCAAGACACATGCCCAGGTTGTGGGCCAAATCCCCAGTGGGGGCATGCAGGAGGCGGCCAATTGATGTTCTCTCTCATCGATGTTTCTATCTCTCTCTCCCTCTCCCTTTCTCTCTCTCTAAAATCAATAAAGAAAAAAAGATTATCTCTTTGTCTTTAACCTTTTACATTTTGATGATGATGTGTCTTAGTGTGGGCCTCTTGGGGTTTATCTTGTTTGGAACTGTCTGTGCTTCCTGATCTTGTATGTCTGTTTCCTTCACCAAGTTAGGGATGTTTTCTGTCATTATTTTTTCAAATAGGTTTACATTGTCCTGCTCTCTCTCTTCTCCTTCTGGCACGCCCATGGTGCAAATGTTGGTACTCTTGAAGTTGTCCCAGAGGTTCCTTACACTGTACTTATTTTTTTTGGATTCTTTTTTCTTTTTCTTTTTGCTGTGATATTTTTATTTTTGCAATTTTAGAAGTTTGACATTACTCCCAAATAAAAAGTTTAAGTGTTCTGTGTTCTTTTTTTTTAAACTTTATTGTTGAATGTATTACAGATGTTCATTTTCCCCCCATTGACCCCCTCCACCCCATTCTTGCCCCCCTCTTTCCTTTCCCCACACTGTTGTCTGTATCCATTGGTTATGCATATATACATATAAGTTCTTTGGTTTATTTCTTCTCATCCCCCAACCCCCCTTCTCTTTGAGGTTTGTCAGTCTAACAACCAATTTGTACTTCTTAATCCCTTCACCTTTTTCCCATTCCCCCAACCCCCCTCCCATCTGACAACCAACAAAATTTCTCTGTATCTATGAGAATGTTTCTGTTCTGCTTGTTCATTTGGTTTGTAGATTCAATTGTCAATAGACATGTATTCATTGCCATTTTATTTGTTCATATTTTTTATCTTTTTCTTCAAGAAGACCCTTCAACATTTCATATAATAATGGTTTGGTGGTGAACTCCTTTAGCTTTTCCTTGTCTGGGAAACTCTTTATCTGGCCATTGATTCTAAATGACAGCTTTGCAGGATAGAGTAATCTTGGTTGTAGGTTCTTGCTTTTCATCACTCTGAATATTTCTTTCTACTCCCTTCTGGCCTGCAAATATTCTTTTGAGAAATCAGCTGACAGTCTTATGGGAACTCCCTTGACTAACTGCTTTTAGCTAACTAACTGCTTTTGTCTTGCTGCTTTTAAGATTCTCTCTTTGTCTTGAACCTTTTGCATTTTCATGATGATATATCTTGGTGTGGGCCTCTTGGAGTTTATCTTCTTTGGGACTCTCTATGTTTCCTGGACTTGTATGTCTGTTTCCTTCACTAAATTAGGGAAGTTTCCTGCCATTATTGTTTGAAATAGGTTTTCGATTTCTTGTTCTCTCTCTTCTCCTTCCGACACCCCCAAGATGTGAATGTTGATGCACTTGAAGTTTCCCACAGGCTCCTTACACTATCCTCATTTTTTTGGTTTCTTTTTTCTTTTTGCTGTTCTGATTGGGTGTTTTTTGCTTCCTTATATTCCAAATCGATGGTTTGCTTCTTGGTTTTACCTACTCTACTATTGAATCTGTATAAATTATTTTTTATTTTAGTTAGTGCCTCCTTCATTTCTGACTGGTCCTTTTTTATTCTCTTGAGGCCCTCACTAAGTTCGCCGAGGTTCTCACTAAGTTCATTGAGCATCCTTATAAGCAGTGTTTTGAACTCAGCATCTGTTAGGTTGCTTATCTCCATTTCACTTAGTTCTTTTTCTGAAGTTTTGTTCTGTTCTTTCATTTGGGACCTGTTTGTCTCCTCATTTTGGCTGCTTCCCTGTGTTTGTTTCTATGTATTACTTGATGAGAGATATGTGGCTATCTGAGACCAGATGCTGCTTGTTTGAAAGAATTTATGAAAACCTGAAGCAGGATCCAAGACAGGCCAATCCTATGGTAAAGCAACTGGCAACAGCTTGGGTGGGCCTGAAAGTTGGGTGGGGCGGGGCCTCAGGGAATCACCAGGGCGGGGCTACCAGTGTGAGCCAGGTTGCTGGAGTCCCAGATATATGGGGACTGTCTGCTGCCCCAGGGCAGAGCTCACCAAAGGAACAAAGGCCTCTGACAGCACATGTGTCCAGGAGAAAGCTGCCTCTCCAGCCCTCGCTCCAATGCCAAACAACTCAGTTCTTCCCCATATGACTCTGGTACCTTTCAAGCTGCCTCTTCCACACTGGAGCCTGGAGGGTGTGGATCTGACCAAGTAAGTCCGTGCGCAGGCCCAATAAGAGGAGCTGCCTGGGGCTCCAGCCGCGTCAGCCTCCCTGAGCCTCAGTTCCCACTGGTTTTTCCAGCCAGAAGTTATGGGGACTTCTCTTCCTGGCACTGGAACCCTGAGCTGGGCGCCTGGTGTGGGACGGGGACCGCCTTAGTCCTCAGAGAGGACCCTCCCAGCTGAAGTATCCTAATTTTTTTCTTTATCCTCACCTGAGGACATTTTTTTTTTTCCATTTTTTGTTCACATAGAGTGGGAGGGAGAGAGAGGAAGAGAGAGAGAAAAACATCGATGTGAAAGGGACACATCCTGTGGCTGCCACCCGCATGACCAACCAGTGCCGGGGACAAACTGCAACTGAGGTACGCACCCTTAGCGGAAACCGAACCCGGGTGTCTCTGGACCACAGGCTGACGCTCTAATCACTGAGCCAAACTGGCCAGGGCATATCCTCCTAATTTTTATCCACCATACGTGGGTATAGGGCCAGCCCCACCACCTTCGCCCCTTCTACCAGTCTTGATGTGGCTGCTTCTTTAATTTTGTAGTTGTAGGACTTCCATTCAGGTAGATTTCAGGCGGTTTTGTATGATGGTTGTTCTGTAGTTTAGTTGTAACTTTGATGTGGTTGTGGGAAGACGGGATACCACGTTTACCAACCCCGCCATCTTGACCATAAGTCCCGGATTCTTTTTTTTTTTTTGCAGTTCTGATTGGGTGTTTTTCTGCTTTCTTATATACCAAATTGATGGTTTGCTTCTTGGCTTTACCTCCTCTTCTATTGATTCTCTCTAAATTATTATTTATTTCAGTTAGTGCCTCTTTCATTTCTGCTTGTGCATCCTTCATTTCTGACTGGTCTTTTTTATGTTCTTGAGGCCCTCACTAAATTCTTTGAGCATCCTTATAAGCATTGTTTTCAACTCTGTATCTATTAGATTGCTTATCTCCATTTAATTTAGTTATTTTCCTTGAGTTTTGGGACTCTGTCTCCTCATTTTAGCTGCCTCCCTGTGTTTGTTTCTATGTATTATGTAGAATTGCTATGTGTCCTGGGCTTCCTAGGGTGGCCCATTGTTGTAGGTGCCCTGTAGGGTCCAGTGGCATAGCCTCCATTGTCACTCCAGCTGGGCCCTCGAGGTGCACCCCTCGTGTGGACTCTGTATCTTTCTGTTGTAATTGAGTCTTGATTCCTGTTGGCACATCAGTGGGAGGGATTTACTCAGGCTGATCAGCTGCAAGGACTGGCTGTGTCCACTGACAACTGACCTCTGACTACCTTAAAGAACCAGCGG